GACGAGCGATAGCGGGAGTGGGAGCTGCGAGCGATGACAACAGCGATGAGCGACGATTGTGGTAGCGGCGAGTAGCGACAATGGCAGCGGCAGTGGCAGCAGAGAGCAACGACAACAGAGAAGAAATCTCAACGGCAAAATCGCGAGTGTTAGGGTTGGGGAAGTCGGGGAAATCGTGAGAGGGAGCCTATCGGTGATTTAGTTGGTTCGATTGAACCAACTAAAGCACCGGATACCGAACCAAACGTAAAACACTGGTTCGGTCGCCTGGTTTAACCCGGGCGCTCGCCCGAAGCGCCCGGCGCCTGGGCTCGGGCGAGCGCCTCGATGAAGCGAGGCGCTCGGGCCTCGCCTCGCCTCGCCCGAGCGCCTAGGCGAGCGCCCGAGCGCCTATTGAAATCACTGAAAAGAACAGAAAAAAAAACTAAGCTTCCCGTTCACAAAATGTAGAGAACCAATGAAGAAAAAAAACAGACCTTTTAGGACTCTGTTCCTTCACTATATCAGATGCTATTTCAGAAACATATTGTTCCCAATCCAAGGGTGGCAATGCCAGGTTTATGGTGAATGGATACCTATAGCAGTAACATGCAATTCTAAAATTAGTCAACTGAAGGCAATAGGATGCAAGTGTTGTATAAATCCTATAATCAACTAAAAACGAGCATAGGTATACAGTAGACAGATATCTGATGTATAACTTGCATGGAATTATTGTACGGACTACAAGCTAAAGAGCTTACTGCTGCACTCGACAGGTCTCGAAAGACAATATTGCTCTTCTTAAATTACGGTTTGATTGAGCTGCTATACGTGCTGTGAATCCAGGTGGAAGTTGCGGGTTTTCCTTCTTGCCAATGAACTCCAATACTTTGATAATCTAATTGAATATAACATGCAAGATTTTTAAATTATGGAAGACTGAGAATTGACCAATAATATCTAGGACCCAAGACTAACAAACATAAGCATGCTGGGCACTAACTGATAAAAGACATACATGTAAGTGAAGTTTATAAGAAAATACAATAAATTTACCATGATATATTCAAGATGCAATTTCAAGTATCTATAGGTCTGAAAACATCTGCCTAGAAACACAAGCAATCTGACATCCAAAGAACTGTATATATTAGTTAAAATACAACTGCACCAGGATATCATATAATGATATTATTTGATCCATCGATCCAATTATATGAAACTGATAAACAAATTTTAACCATGTCAAACTCATTTACTTGTAGAATAACATGGCATTTAATAATTGACCAAAATGGACTACCACTCAATTATTGAATGGGTATTCAGTGACACTACTTAGCTGAAAAAAGAAAATTAGTGATGATCATGAGCCAACATTTGACATAAGCAAATGACAGTTTAATCCAATGTAATCATGTCAAACAATAATTTATTATCTAACTGCTGCTTACATAGCTTCCATCTGAAGGAAATCTAGGTCAACAAGTTATTATAAATGTAGCATGATAATTTCTGTTTGATGACTTTTGCCATAGGAATTTATCATACGAAAATACATTTCTACTAATTGCATGAAGTACCTAAATGATTATGTAATCATAATGATAAAAGTACCTAGATATACGCACAGCCTAAGAACTAAGTCACTTCCTGAAATTGAGGGGCTACTACTTCCTACAAGTGAATCTCCACATCAGTCCATGCTTAGGCTAGTCCATTTAGAGAAATGCATGATAAAAGCCAATTTGAATGTAATATTTATAATAATTCAAAAACATCAAGAAGTAGATATTCTTCTTTCAAATCCTGAAACAATAGTCGTACTCTCAGTGTGCTAGTGTTTGTGAACTTGTCCCATTTATCCCAATCTACATCTCACCTCTCCCCAACGCCACAAAACACCCCACAGAAAGCCCATAAAAGATGTTCAAGGAATTAAGGGGTCGATCAAAGTAGAAAAATAATAATAATAATAATAATAATACTGTTGTTTCTTCTTTCCTACACCATCTCCACCAGATTCTACCATAGTTTCAAATTTAGTCTATCAAATGCACCACTACATGCCTCATCTATCAGTCTTTATGAACTTGTTGCACTCGAAGCCTATTTTCCTTTGGGCATGTTAGACTCCACAAGAAAGTTCGACAAGACAAACAATTCAACTTGGAATCCCATATCCAAGTAGGCAGCATCTGTATCTTTTGAAGATATTGATAAGTTAGTCATCTAACTAAATTAAATACAACTACCAATTATCTGAAAAATAATCCTCACAAAAAAACATTTGATCCAAATTTCACATGACAACGGCAACCTTGTTTAAGTCCAAATTAACTAACCAAATATGTTACTCACTGATCGCATATGAATGAAAAAATACACCAGAACTAAATGTTAGAAGTTAGTTCACAGTTATTGAATGTAAAATATATAGATGAACATAAAAACTAACTCATAAATAACCATTTATGAAGTTGCCATCACACTACAGACAAAAAGAGCTATACAAATAAGACAAAAAAACATTAAGTGGCTACATCAAATTGTCAACTGAACTATCCATGCACAGAGCATTTGACCTTGTTCCATGTGGATTTTATTACAGAATTATGTTTTGCAAGAACTGGAGATTGCTTTTCACTCTGCAAACCCGGGTTTGTGCATTTCATTGTGACAATGTTTAGTATAAAGATCTCTTATTTATTTTGTTTCATAAAGCCAGCTCTCGAAGAATACAAAAGACATTAGCATAGAAAGTTATGTATTCCTAACCACAGAGCTAGAGAAACAGACTAAATAAACACATCCACAGAGATCTAAGATCCAATGAGATGCAGTTATGTTCATCCCAATCCAGGTACCAACCTGCTCTTCAGTAGGTGCATTCACTCGAATGTTCAGACAGCGAGACCTGACAGCCTCCGTTACTTTTGATGAGCTGTTGCAGCACAAGATTAGCCTGCATGATGCACTATACTTTTCCATTGTTCTACGGAGAGAATGTTGACCTTCTCTTGACAGCTTGTCAACTTCATTCAGCACCAATACTGCCAGTTAGGAAACCGTATCGATACCTTGATCAGTAGACTTATTCCAGAAATTCTAAGAAAAAGTTTACCAAACTTAAGATGGCTCATAAGGGGTAGAGATATTAATAGGCATAGATATTAGTGCAGGCCTATCGCAAGGAATGAATTTGCAACAAATTCCATTAACTTGGTATAGGTGCATGTCCTGCTTCTTACCAAGCTGAGGCCCGTTGTGACAAGAACAGTTGAATCAGAAGCTGATACAAGACAATAATACCTGACCAATAGGGATGCACCATAATAGTTGATCTCATCAGGTAAAATCAATTGAGGTCAAATTAGGTTTTATCTCAGGCTTCTGAGTTGAATCAAGTTAACTAACCCCAAATATAAAGTCAGTTTGGACCACAGATTTCATTCAGGGATTCTTTCAACCACAAATTTCCATTCTGAAAGAGAGTGAGTTGACCACGTGATTCACAGTAGTTAACCTCAGGAGATTCCAAAAGAATACTTTACCCTTACCCAGCAATAAGTCAAGGAATTTAATAGTCATTTTTTTCTCATCAAGTTTTGGCTGTTTTACACATATCTGTATATAAGCCTAAAATTTCTAGCTTATGGTACGACTAAAGTAAACCATATGACCCGACAAGATGATTTTATATCAACAACTTGTGTAACAGCCCTTAGCTATAGCATTTTGAACTTGATGTTCAGTAGTTTTCCATGATGTAGGACTTTTTACATGTTCCAATGATAACAGGAGCCACAGACTTTAGATTTGCAGACATAGATTGTTTGAGTGCCGTTAATAATGCCAACTTGATTTATCAAGTGACAAAGACAGTTTCATCCTAAAGGAATTAAGATAGCATGATCATTAGATAGAACAGTATATATTCTTCTATTCCTTTATGCATATACCTGAATTACCAGCCTACCAGCACCATGCAGTTAAAAGTTACGAACTATCTATTAAAGAAGCATTGAACCATACAAAGGATCTTCAACATTTTCAAAGTAAATTAACATTAAGTGAAAATATTATCATCCCACCATGGGCATAAACTGTGTAAACATATTTTGGAATATGCCTAGCGTTGGTTGTGAGACTCTTGTGGCAACTAAAATTGAAAAGGCCATAACATCACAATCTACTGTGCATAGGAGGATGCGGAGCATCTTCCAAGTGAAGTACTTGATGTTTCAAATCGACTTTCAAAGGTTCCGTTTCAACTTTATGCAGGAAAACGAGGTAGCTCGTTAAGAAAATCCATGTTTAGAAAGTGACCACATCCTCAAAAAGAACACAATGCAAAATCTTGGTCTATGGCAGGCCACATGAAATAATCATAGGTGTCATTATTACAATCTACATATTAGTACACTGAACTCAGAACCATTGGTTAGTGATTATGACGTTGTGCATTTTACATTATATGCTCAAGTTAATTGCATCAGTCCCTAGTTATAACCTTACATGCCCAGTATAACAGAAATAGCATAAAGTGAAACTCATTATAGCTTAGATAAATATGGTTTCTGAAATGCAAAGGCCATCTGGGAATCTCCCAACATTAGATAAAACAAAAGGAAAACAAACCCCATGTAACTAAAGGGTAATTACCTTTGAACCCTTTTTTGCCTTTAGTATCCACAGGTCTGTTTCTTGCCATTTCCTTGATAATCTCCTGAACAATATACCTATCCTGGAAACCTGCATCGCTGGGATTCATCTCAACATGATGTGTGCTCGATAACATCGTCAACACCAGCTCTATCATTTGTGTACCAGCCTGCACAGAAAATCGACTTAGTGAAAGATCCCATCAGCCTCAGTGAGTGCCTCATAATAGGAAGGGACTCCAAATTTTCTATGTTTGTGAAGAAAACCGGCAATCCCTAAAGTAAAGAAATAAACTGAATTTCTAAAGCAAGAAATCAAGACGGCAGCCAGCTGTGGCAAAGAGGCCCAAGTCCTACTTTGGGGGGGGCAAAGTCTGCTACAGGAATTCTCACATCGCCCATGAAGTTTGTTCATCACTAAAGCCCGTATCATTGGAAGAATTAAGTAACCCAAGAAAAGGAGATCATGAGCTTCAACTTACATCGATCTTCCACATCTTGTTCTCCAATTTCACCTGCAATCGCCAACAGAAAGAAATGAGAAAAAGAAACACAACTAGATTAAAAACAAAGAAATAAGAACATCTAACCACAAGAGGAAGGAAAATAAACAGTGGTGTGAAGATACCTTTTCAGCCCCAGGGCCAAACATTTGCTTAAGAAGGGCCATGACTAGGGTTTTCTTGCCGGAACCAGTCGGCCCATAGACGAGGAGATGGGGGCAGTCATGCTCCGACACCTACCAACGGATCCACCACACAAAGATCACCTACATCCCGCAGGCACAACCAAAACAAGCAAGAAGGAAAGCAACCAAAACCCTAGACGAAGAGTTTTAGGAGATCTCACCAATTTCTTCAGGTTCTGGGCGATTTCCTCGTGGGCGATGATCTTGTCTAAAGCTCTCGGCCGGTACTTGTCGACCCACAGCCTCGTCGCCGGGAGCCGGAGGAGGAGGAGGAGGAATCGGAGGAGCGACTGGGGTACAGTGTAAGAGGAGTGGCGGGAAAAAAGGGGCCGGATCAGATTATATATAGGCAGCGGAGACAGTAATGGGCCACCATCCAGCCCATGGGCCCAATTGACCCGAATTTCCACCAGCCTATGGGGAAGCTGCGGTAAATTGGTCCATACGCTAAAGAATAATCGAAATCAAATCGATAAAGAACAATTTTAGAATCGATGGTTCTGATTTAAGTTTGAGCGTTTCTTCCAAATCATTTCTAACAACTATTAAGTGCACCCACCATACGAGTAATAAGATGCTTCTTGTTGAAAGCATTGGGATCGTGATTTATGTTGTTCTTGTTTCTTGGTGCGCATAGAGAACAAATAGTAAATTTTTGTTCAGCAGAATCTTAAACACCGATCACATGACAACTAATTTTATGTAAATTGCATTTAACTTAAACTTCGGTTGCCAGCAATTGCTACAAATCACTCGAGAATGCCAAGCACTGTGCTGGGAAATAAGTGCCGGCCACCTTTTTCTTGCTTGTTCTATAGAACAATAGCTTCATGAAATAAACTATCCACCACCAAAAGTTTAATTGTTTATTGTTTCCGGTAAGCTGGAAAACCTTTCCCTATTGCCACTCGATCATAGCATATGGTAATTGGAGCAATCGAGTGATGCAGCTTCCTAAGTTGGAAGCTATAATTATTGCTAAACTGTTTATGACCCACTATAATTATTGCTAAACTCAAAGAAATTAAAAAAAGTGTTGCTATTGGGTACTCGTCCATGAGATGGAGTGATAATTGACGCCTAAGAAAAGTATATGGTTACTTATGCTCTTTACCTCCTGATAGTAGACCTATCGTATTCAACTTTAAATTATTAAATTCATTAAATTCTCTATCCTCTTTGTCTTGTAAATTATTAAATTCTCTATACCATTATCATCAGGGTCTACAATTATAGTGCTTCGAAGGATGACAAGATCTCACAATAACTCTACGAATTGTCATGATATGTCAATTCTTTCCTATTGATGATTGATGAAAGCCACTTTCTCGAATAAGGAATTGAACATGAAGGTCTGTGCACTTGCATCTACAGCATAAAAATTAATAATAGAGAATTAGTCATCCATCATATGAGTTAATAATAGGTCTATCATTGGTTGGAAGCTGAATCGAGTGTAATTTGTTATCTAATAAGGAGCAAAAGGTAAGACGATTAATGTCGTCGTCATATCTGAATAGCAATCATTGGAGTTGGGGGGATGCTTGCGAAGGTTGATAGAATGTCATGCCTTACATATGTCATGAAAACGGATATAATAAAAAATATCGATGGTGAGTTGATCGATGATGAGTTCTAATGTATTAGCAGTGAGATTCGACCAATCAGCTCTCTCTTCTTCTTTCTCATTTTCTTTGATTTCAGCTTTTCTTTTACCTTTACCCTAGGATCATTTACCGCATAGAAAAAAGAAGTCTAATATTTTTGGCCTCTCTCATTTTTATGTAAATATCATTTTTTGTATATATATATATATATATGAAAGTTATATTTTTAAAATCTGAAAATTGTATTAGTAGAATATGGAAGTTTCAATCGTATATAGTTGTGTTCCCATATATTGTTATTTTCTTAAATAACTACATTTCTAATTTAAACAGGATAGTTGATTAGGATTTTCATGTATAGTTGTAATCCTAATATATTAGGACACTTGCAATATTGCTGCTAATGTTAGGATGCTGTGTTTTACATTATGGGATTTAGATACTTTCAATAAATTTGAAATCTCATTTATGATGAGGTAACGAAGGAAACTATTAGTTCTGCAAGAAATATCTTCCGATCACAAAATTTCATGCATGAAAGAAGAAAATCAGCAACAAACGACAAATTCGATGGAAACTCAATACTTCATGATTTTTAACAAATGTGATAGAAATTCTCAACTTGCAGTGATAACTTTGCCTTTCTCCTTTAACTTCAAGGTTTTCAAGAGCAGTGCCAACGAGTTATTGTTTGGTTTGGAGCTTAATAATTAGAGCAATTGAACTAAGACCAACAGAGCATATTTTGATATCAATTATGATCTCGAACAGATGTGTTTTGACAACAATATTGACAAAAAGGACTGATCTCAATTCTATTCTCTGCAGACAAAATAAATAGCAACATCCACATCAACTTGTAAGCTGCCGCTAGCAGGTTTTAGCATCAAAATATTTAAGAGGTCATTGGCACAATTCATTTTAATTAATATGCATCTCCGGATCCAGTTTAGTTTTTCTTCATGTTTGAGTTACATTTGGTTATCAATGAGCCTACTTATCAGAGACAAGGGGTGTATGACTTGGAAGAGAAAGACTCTTTCAAGCCACATCTCAAATGATCTAGTTCCTGAGTCCTAATAAACTTAATAATTCTGTTTAGTTTGATTTTCTTTTTATATCTCAAATGGTTTTGATTTAATTATTTATAGATTGGGATGACATTCAGTCTGATCAGACAATTTTTATGCATTTCTTTGAGATGGATAAATATCTGATATAATTTTGGCCTTTTAGGTCTCGCTAATCTAAGATATCACTCTTGTTGACCAGGATTCCAAGAGAGCTGCTATTTGGACTCTAAATTCTTGATATTGGCATGGATTATACTGCTATTTGATGACGTTCTTTGCTTGGATCTTGGAGATCTCAAGTCAAACAAAACTAGCAGAACTGAATACTTGGTACTTACTCTAAAAGCTTGAAGACAACATAACGATTGAAGTAGACTGAGTTTTTCTTTCTGTACATCAGTCTCTGTCAAGGCTTAATTGCATGATATTAATGGTAGTATGACACTTCCTCTAAAAGCCAGAGCTGTAGCTTGGCTAGAAGAAAATGTAATGCATAATGTATGAGGGTTGATCTTATTTTGCTAGGAATCATTCTTTGGACTCTAAATTGTACAGGTTACATAGGTCAGTTTATTTATTTACTTGCTTAAAATTTTCCTTTCGTTTTCGTGAAAAGCACATTATAACTTGTTTTTAAGGAGTGCGCCACCACTCAATTGAATGTTGGCAGCATTTTCATAATCCTTGCTTGAACATTTAAAGTCAAAATAATTATTTATTTATAATAATGATAAGTCGGTTTTTTTCGATTTGGCTGATGAAAATTATCTCTTTGGTTGTGAATGCAAGATTATTATGAAAATTTTTTGCTCAAGGTGTGGAGATCAAGTGTCGACCCCCATTACTGTCTAATGTGTAGAGGTTGGAAGCCGCCAACCCCCACGTGATCGAATTGCGAATGTCCGACCTCGACATCCCTTGTTGCCCGAGGTGCGGAGGTTGAGATCCCAACCCCTTGTTACCCGAGGTGGGGAGGTCAGGCGCGCTGACCCCCTCGCTATCCTTCGTGGGGAGGTCAGGTGGTACCTCGATCTCTTTTAGGCAACCCAAATTAAGTTGGTTGAGAACCCCTACTCTCCCTCAGAAAAATCGATCAAAGGAGCATAAAATTAACATGTCAAATAGGCCAAATATTGGTTTTCCAGACCCTCATCAATGAGCTCTCGAAGCATGGCTTCATAGGGGATAAATGATAGAGAAGATATCGATAACCAATCTTCATCCGACATATGGCTTCTACCTGACGTACAGACTATAAGGAGACCAAAGTTGTCCCCCACTGGTCTATCCATGTGGATATAGGTCTAAAGCAAACAGTTATAAGTTATATCGACCCCTATCGCCTATATAGGTAAAAGGTCGATTTAAGGTTGTTAGAGATGGTTAAAGGCCACCTACTTATAAAATATACAATATTAGAATATTTTTTTTCATTTACTATCAAGTATAAAATCTTACTTTCAACAGGGTTACATGGATCACATTTCACCACTCATTATCATACCCACCTACATCAAGTTACTAACTTAGGCATCCAAGGGATCAGGTCGGGAAACTCCTCTCAACCTCATTCTTCATACAGGTGGCACTTCCATAGCTTGACGTTTTTATCTCGGAGGCATCTTAGCCACACCTTGAACATCCTTGTGCATGCAAGTCAGAATCATGTCGAGCTGACTAGAATATCAATGATATTTTCTTATAACAATATCAATACTAATGCTGAGATCATGATCGGATGCATATATCATAAAAGTGATGTATCTTCTTAAGTTGGAATATGATAATAGAACATGAGATCAAACAAAACTATTGATGTCCCACTATGATTGTTTCTGAAAGAAGAAAAAAAAAACTAGTTACCTAGAGATATAGATTATGCTACAAGTTATTTACAAATATAAATATCCATTAAATACATCATAATATAGAGAATGTTATCTCAATGTATTAAAACAAAACTATTCAAGATATAAGAAGCAAACAAAACTAAATAGAAAAATAAGTTATTGAGATTCATGAAATACATCAAAAAAAGTTATAATCCACCTTTTATAGTACTGGCATAATAAGACTTAGTTTTTGTCTAAGGTGATAAAAAAAAAACTAAAATAAGGATGGTACAAACCACATGGGTAAAATGTCAGTGCACATCTTTTCAAGTTCATCGTGTGGTATTGGCCTCAAAGAGGCGTTCTTTAAATCATATATTTCAATCCTACAATATACATTTTGTTCATCAGAACTCATCATATAAATGTGAGGTGTATAGATAGTGTCATATTTTTCACGAGGGTATTGGGTAATTGGCACTGTGATGGAGCGAGAATTAATACCGAAGAAAAGTATGTGGTTGCCTATGCTCTTTACATCCTCTAATGATGGCAGTAGACCTCTCATATTTAACTTTTGAATCTCTATCTTCTTTGTCACGAAAACCATTAAATTCTTTATTCCATAGTCATCAGGGACCCTAATCATAATGTTTTGAAGGATTAAAAGCTCTCCTGATAACTCCACGAATTCCCAAAATGGGTGGTCAATTATTTCCGATTGATGATCGGTGATAGCCACTTCCTCAAATAAGGAATTGAACATGAAGATCTGTCCTTTATCACTTACAGTAAAAAAGCTTCCCTTGAAATAAATAATATCGTAATATAAAGTTGTGCGTTCCACCAAGGTCCATTCATCGTCCTCACCTACACGGATATACAAAAGAAAATTGCCTGGGGTATAGAGAATGCAGATGATGCATTGCTGATCTTTTATTGAGGGGTTTGAAGACATTGCAAACTTTAACGCTGGTGGGCCAAGATACCTAAAATCACTTGGGAGCATTGGCAGATCGATATGAGCACTTGTGAGAGGATTTAGGATAGTAACGTGCACAGAAGTTTTGTGATGGAGAATTAGCTATCCATCATATGAGCCAATGATATCTCTATCATTTATTGGAAGTTGAATCGAGTGTAATTTGTTATCTGATAAGGAGCAGAAGGTGAGACGATTAATGTCGTCGTCATATCTCGAGAGCAACCATGGGAGTTGGGGAGGATGCTTGCAAAGGTTGATAGAATGCCATGCCTTGCAGACGCCACGAAAACGGATATAATCAAAAATATCGATGGTGAGTTGATCGATGATGAGTTCTAATGTATCGGTAGTGAGATTCGACCAATCAGCTCTCTCTTCTTCTTTCTCCTTTTCTTTGATTTCAGCTTTTCTTTTGCCTTTGCCTTTAAAGAGTTCTTCG